TACTGGTTATTCTCAGAAGGAGCTGGAGATCTTCAGACTTTCTTCAGCAATATACGCATGGCTGAGCACAGAAGCCTTTGGTGCCAGAATTGATTTTACTACTTGTTACAATGGGCTTTTGCAGAAGTTTTAGCTTAATAGAAGTGAATTCTTTGCAGTTTTCTCCATTTTCTCCACCTTGCGTCTCCAGTACCTTCAGTGCTCATGTCAAGTTGGCTTGGTATAACCAGGCCACAAGAACAAAGTATAGATGTGGTGATCAGTACTTTAGAAGTTCACATTTATTCTACCTCCCCTGCAACTAAGCACCTAACATGAAGCAGCAGTTGAGACTTTTTGTGTTTGTTCTACCACATGATAAAAGGAGAGTGTCAGTATTTCTGAAGTCTGAGTGCCGAGAAGAGATTAAGACAAGAATGAAGTTGCCCTTTCAATCCAGCATTTATTAAATCTTCTGTGATTAGTTAATAGTACACGTGTCAGTACAAAGGTCAGATATAATGATCCAAGGCCGTAGAATGTTGTGTTTTATATACCAGATGTAATCTTAAGCATCTCAAAGCCTTTGACCCTTACTTTTCAGTGCAGCCAAGTACTGTATTTCACAATGATTTCTTACCCAGTTCTAGACTTTGCTACCCGTAAGATGTGACTTAATAGAGGGAAAAAAAAAACAACAAACCCAAAGATTAACACTGACAAACTGCACTGAAAAACCTAGTAAAATGCAGCACAGTAGCTACAGAACAGAAGAAAGATCACCTTTAGGTTACAGAGACAAGCACTTGCAAGTAAGGAAAAAAATGAAGCGAAGAGACTGTATACGCCACTTGCAGATATACCCTGAGCAGTGGGGTATGTGTTCCCACCAAAGACAGAATGTTAGATATGAAAATAACTGACTGAACTGCTTTTACCAGCTAAAGAGTACTGCACCTTGCATATGCTAACTATTCCCATTTGTTTTGGTGAATTCCTGTAGCAATCCCTTGTGCCAGTAATCTAATATATTCAGTTCCTCCGTCTTGAGGTTCTCTCTGGTTAATTCAAGAAAGGGGTTCATTTTGACTTTTCCCTTGCACCACACCAACTGTAGACCACTGCTGGACGGACACTTCTGACCACTTCCTGGTGCTGAAGCTGTCTTACGTAGTCAGTAACCCACCAAAACACCTAAAGCAAACTTGCTTAAACCAACAGGATATTATATCTGTAATGGCACTGGGCTATTTCTATAAATTAATGCAGGTTAGCAATAATATACTTTCTGCATTTCATGAGCTACGCTCAATGAGCCAAGTTAGTTATCTGTCACAAAGTTATGCTGTTATTTCAAAACGTGTGTTAACTGTGTTAAACACTTCCTTAAACATGGTTGTTCCTCCAGGTGTTGAACCTTAAGGAGAACAGTGTTTGTATAACACCTTGAAGTGTTTTTCCTCTCTAGATCTTAAGAATTAATCTTTTTATAAAAACCATTCATGGCAATGAGTTATTTTAAGTCTCTGCATAAGTAAATACATTTTTTTAAGCACTGTAGCACTAATACAAATAGCAGCCATTCCAACCGTTGTATTACAGAATGAACAGCATAACAAAGATGACATTTGGCACATAATAAAGAGCCAAAGAATGAGGTACAAACCAGAAGTATCTTAGGAAAACAAAAAAAAACCAACCAACCCAAAACCCACAATAACCTGCGCCCAGAGACTGTGCATCACCTAATAAAAACACTGCATTTGGGTTAACATGACTAAAGACACCTGTATATGTATAAGTACTAAGCTTGCTTAGGATTCTTGAAGTTACCTATTACCAAATGATAAGTGTCTTAAGTTGAAGTTGCAGCTGTACAAAATCCACACCCTATCTGTAAGTGCACATGTACTGCTTGCACAAAGGGACCTGGATTTTGTAAAAATCTAGTGTATACCAGTCACAGCCTGTTCCCTGTGATTCATACCAGAACCAAACCGAAATGCTGACTGCATTTCCAATGTGCTGTCAGTCAAAGTACTGAATATTTAATAATTTAATTAGAGACTATGTATTGCTCTGTAATAGATGGGGAAAAAACTCATTATGCTGATAAATGCTAGGTCTGCATGAACACAGCCAATGTGAAAAAGCTAATTGCCAAAAATGGCCAGTTTTTTCCACCAAGTAACAAAAAGATGAGTGGTTTTGAAAAGGTAGTAATGAATTTTTTTTCCCCCTGGAAAACACAGAAAAACACAGAAAAAAATAGATATATTATGTCCTGTATTTAGATACTATTTAAGTGTTTGGTTTTGTTGTTTTGTTGTGTTTGTTTTGTGGGGTTTATTTTTTGGGGGGGGGAGGGATGAGGGGTGTCTGTTTTGTTTTTTACATTGAAATAGGCTATCTCCATCTACCACAGCTCAGTTTAGTTGAAGTACCTATCCTCAAACTTGACTTAAGTCTCTCTCCTGATCAGCATTTACATTTAAGTGATGTAACCACTAATATTTTCATATACTAATTTAAATTATTTATCATCATATAATTTAATGGCATTTTACTTGACAACATCAGCAAAGTTGAAGAATAAAATAACTGAAGTAACTTTTCTGTATAAAAAGAAAAATACTAGCCACTTGTTATTAAAACAAGCCAAATTCAGCATGAATTTTAAAGACACAAAGCTTCTGGTAATCAGAAAACAGTTATAACTATGATCAACCATCATCTCACTGTGATTTGAAAACACAGGTTCTCAAATTCTCAAAGTAGCTGAAGCGGTTAAGGGTTGTTCAGTATTTTTCCCTAAAGTGTGCATGAGATGTCAAGAAATTCAGATCCAAACTTACATGCTATTGTGTTGCAGGTTTGGATGCTTTAACACTTGGAACCCTTAAATATTTACCTCTATCTCTTGCAGTTGTTCTTGATTTGTGGCATACATTTGCTGTAAAGATTCTTCTAGTTCAGTGTTACGGTCCAGGAGTGTCTTCCCAAGCTCAGCAGCAAGGTGAAGATCTAAACAAAGAAATCATGTTTGCATGCAAGTTGTAGAGCCAATAACAATCTAATTTTAAAGCATTTTCATCAAATACATCTAGTGGTTTTCTACTGCTGTTGTAACTGCTCCAAGTTATTTCCAGTATTCAAAAAGAAAGTTAGCTTAAGTGGAGCAAAGTTAGCTTAAGTGGAGCATTCATATACCATCTATAATGCCAAGTCTAAGTCTGTCCTAAAACCTAGAAGATACTCTGATTTCATGAAACTTCCTTAGTTCCTCCCTTGATCCTTCTTCCACAGGTCAGACACATGCAGCCATCTTCAGTTCCCCCTCTCTGCCTAGTACTGCACCAGCATCTCCACCCAAGGTGTCTGTTAGTTAACTACACTTCACCATGTTTATAGCACTCATATTTTAGAAGAATAAACATAAAAGACCCTGTAAACATTCGTCAGGCCAGACCCAGGCCACAGCTGGCTGCACTCTTGCTTACTTTGCTGTTTTCCACTTCGCCCCTTCACCAAGTTGCTCAGGTCATACAGGAGCAAAGTGCTAAATCAAAGTTTCAGATGCTTCTTATCATGAAATATTAATATCAAAAGACAAACTGATAAATAAATGTAGCTATTCTGCTTTTCAAGCTCATAAACCTAGGAGACAATTGTTTCATGTGCTCCAAAACATAATTTTACATGTCAGTTGTTCTCAGGCACTCAATCTGAATTTCACTTCAGTCATCTCCAGGGCGCAGTGACTATGGTTGTTTCAAATTAAGAAATAAGTCATCTGAACACTCAATTCCTTTCTAGAGGGAAGCTTGGTATTTGTTCAACAGCTTCAGTAGTGCTATATATTCTACATTATTACCTGCAGAAACACATGTCATTTAAAAGCTAACATAATGCAACAGAAATAAATCTTGGCGATACTGCTAAAATTGCAATGACTCTGTGCAGGGTATTACATGTTAAGAATCCAACAGATTTCTAAAAATCTCTAATTTTCCACATCCTTCCCATCAGCTGGACCACAACCAGGTTGTCTTCTGCATGAGTGCAAAACAATCTTGGTAGCATTCACATAGAACTAGCATCACTAATGGGAAAGACACAGAAGAAACTTCAAGAAAAACTTAGGTTCACTTCAAGACTACTTAAATTAATATTCAAGAGTAGTTGCAGCTAGATGAGAAAACAAATTCCATTTCCACTTGATTTAGGTGTCCTTGTTTTAACATGTTATTTTCCTGCCCTTTCCCAATTATCTTATCAAGTAGACACTGTAATAGATAGAACACTGTTCCAAGATTGTTTTGTGCTAACCTTTGGTTTGGCAGCCTGGCCAAATGATTACTCCATCTAGATATGTAAGCCAAAGACCAAATGCAGACTTAAAAGGACAAGTGAGTAGGAGCATTTGTCTATTAAGTTGTAGATGTCCAATTCCAGCCAAACAACAGCTCTGGTATTCTCTACACATTCTTTACAGCTACAGTGCATTGTTTCCCACCTTAAGGTCAGATTCTTAGAATAAATGCCACAAAAAAATATTTAAAACAAATCACACTGCATGGGAGTTCTTCACAGTTTCAAAAGACTTATGTATGACTAGGAGCCACATGGCATACTGATCTACACTTAGGATTTTATCCTTGCATAGCTTTTTCATTATAACATCAGTTGTTAAGGAACACAGCCTATTCCACAGCTGGGGTTCAAAGTATTTGGATAAGGAAACCTCAAGGCATCCTGCTTTTTTCCCATTTTTAAACAGATATTGTGCATTGTTTAGCCATGGACAGCATAACTCCCAGTCAAACACCAAGTTGTTTGTTCTATCACATTACAGAATAATGCAGTCTTCAAATCCAGTGAATCTATCACCCTGTATAAAATGAAGTACTGATTCACAAGTGTTCATACTACACAAATCTTTACTAGGAGGCACAATCTTTAAAGCTGGTCAACAATACTGGCATCATTCAAGGCAAAGACTAAATAGTCCATTCTTTTATTTTAATAGAGAAGAATAGAGCTTTAGAGAGGGTTTAGGATTATGTTAAAGATGTAATGCATAATGGAATTACTTGCTGCCATTTCCCTTCCCAGAGTGAAAGTTTGGTTTGATGTTTAAGTATATTTACAAGTTGATGGTTTCATTCTTAAATGCCCCCTCATCTACTAAATCAAGTAGCACATACCACACAGTACTTTGAATACAATATGAATAATAGAATTCACAATATTGTACTTACACACCCATACTGTTCATTAGAATGGCAGAAGCACAAATGAGTTACTATGGGAGAAGCATGCTATTTTGTAATTAAGGCAATTTGTTTCTGAGTGGGAGAATACAAATGGAAGAGCTCAGGAACATGCAACAAAACCCTAACTCCTACCCAAGAGAAAGCAAGAACTGAAACAATTTCACCTCTTCTAAAAATAAGTATTTCCTTTGTGTTCATTTGTCTACATTGTTAAGTACCTACAAGCCCTATAAAGAGCAAATTTTAAGTGAGATGTGCAATATACATATTCTCCAGATACAGAAGGAAAACAGTTAATTTACATTCCTCATAGTTACTGTACAATAGTAGAAGCACACCGCATTTGCTGTTGTAAATTTATGTAAAGCAACGGCTAAGTTCTACCACTGGCACACATTTTTTCCTTTTCACCAAGATGTAAGCAGAAAAGTTTTTAATAATGCAAACTGCGTACGTGCAGATCTTCAGATCTTCATTTTAGTAAATCTGATCAGTTGTACTCGTGTTTAAAAGCTCCTTCAGAAATGTCTAAACCAAAAACCAGATTTCAAAGGTAGGTCTGTGATGTTGAACAGTTCTCACTTACCAGCATTTTGCCACCATCTCTTCAGACAGTGTTACTATAATTGAGAAAAAGGTAAAACAGTACCAAAATCCTTCTCTTCTACTTTTTCATAACCCGCCTGACAAAAATATTCAGAGAATTTTCAGTCTAAAGTTAAGCCTGTTCTTTTCAATAGCAAAGCACAAGGTATACAAGACTGGTTGAAGTTTACTTAACCATAAAAAGAAACCTTTTTTTTTTTTAACTTAGCTTCCTATTTGCTACTCCATGTTTACCCTCTGTTCTGTTAAACAGAGGAACAGCAAGATGCAAAAAGAGCAGTCATATCAAAGAATTCTTTTTCAAAAATCAGCATACTGCAGCAAAACATGGATGTTGCAGGATGACTGTTCCCTTCCTTGAAAGAATTCCATGAGCATTCTGTTCTCATGAACAGCATGCCAGAAAAGCCCACCTCCATTGCCGAGGCAAAAGTTTTTGGTGCATACAAAGACTGTCAAAGTTTTTCCAACAAGGACTACAAGCTTGTTTCAAAGTGCTTCTTAGTGTTTTACAACCTGGGTTCTCATAAATCTACTCCTCGGGTTTTTAATGTGCACTGATTGTTTGGGTTGTGACAAGTTCCAAATGATCTTGATAAGCAATCTTACTACCCTGTTTACATACATTGGTATTGCTTAGTCTTCGGAGAAGGAGGAGTTGTCTTTCAGACTTAGGGAGTAGAGTATAACAGTATAAAGTATAACCCATTCCTGTAAGGAATTTATTCTTTGCATTTCAACTTGCCCATCAATTTTTATTTTCCTCCTTCCCCTTTTGGCAAGGCTACTAGTCACTTCTGTTTAGGCTTGTAAAAAGATAATCCCCAGAAAAAGATTGGTCAAATGTTGAAAGAACATTAACCAACCCTCAAAATGCACTAACCTACAATGGAATATTGTTTCTTAAAAGCTCAAACCAGAAACAATATGGTGATTATTTCACTCAATTAAAAGATTAATTTAAAGAAACATCAGTAAGCCAAGAACTTTGTTGCTATTACTTTGTGAAGTCTCCTTCTAGGTCTTCTGCCCCATAAACACTGACAATAGTAAAAACATTCCTAAGTAATATCTTCAAACTTTCAACTCTCTTGCCTTTGACAGCAAACTATGGTTTCAGGATGTGATTTAAATTGATTGGTTTGTATCATAGAACCATGAAAGCATCTATTTCGAGCAGAGTACCTAAATAAAGCTTTCAGACAGTTAGCTATTTTATAGTAAAAGCATACAATTAGAGAGACCTGCTCCAGTCTCAAAAACAAGTTTCTGCTGTCACATGCCTGATCTCAGTGTGAAAACTACTTAGCTAGGAAGAGCTTTCAAAAGTGTCTTTCCTACATGGTTTGTAATACAGTAGCACCTACCAATCCCAAGAATTAACGTACTTCAATGTAAAACCCAAGAGCATAAGGCTGGAGCAGGTTCACAGGAAGCAACTTCACAGCTTTGAGCTGGCCTTTTAAAACAAACTCTGGATTAGTAGCAAAAACTACAACAAAGTAAATTCCAGTCTAAAATGCCACTAAGCTCTTAAGGAAATAGCACATTCTTTCCATATCATGTCTGCAGGAGAGTTTTAGTGCAATTATACTTGGTGTATTCCTCATCTGTAAGACGAGAACAGCATTTACCTACTGCATGTAGTGTTTTAAGACCTACTGACAGAATGACGTACAGGACCTAGATACCTGTAATTCTGATGCATAGTGGAGTTACTCTTTTATTT